CTGCCCACACATGCCTAACTTTCACATCCAGAAGGTAGTGAGGTCCTACATTTGCTGGGCTCCTTGTAATGCAGAGTCTGAACAGGACAGACAAACAAGTAGTCCCCTGTGGAGGTCTCTGCATGGCTAAGACTTTAAGGACTAGAGGCCTTTCTTCCTCACGCTCAGCATAGCCTTGCTCTGGTCTGTACAAGGAAGCTGGCCAATTGCCCTGCCTCTGAGCCTATTCATATTCCAGCCTTCCTTGTTCTAGTGTACAGAAACTACCCTTTGGAAGTCGGCATTTTTGTGCCTGACCCTTTCATGTGTCATCCCTGGACTTGCTTTCCTTTCACTCTGGCAAGCTCTTCCCAGCCTCTGAGCCCAAGAGTGCTTCTCCCTGGACCACCCCAGCAGCCTCAGCGTGGGCGTCCTTCCCTCTGGTTTGGTTTCTTCTTTCTCCATCTGCTGCCAAGAACCCCTCCATCATCAAGGCAGCCCTTGTTCCTGCATGTATTACCTGGGGCAACACTGAAGAATAAATAAGGCTGATCCATTCCATTTCTCTGGATTCCTGCAAGTGTTCCTAGAGGAGAGAGCTGTGGAAAGAGACTATGAGGGGAGAGAAACCTGTTTTGATCTCTCTTTTGAAGGTAGCAGATTCTTAGTTTCATTCAAGCCCTAAAAGGAGTCTAGGGTAAGATTTTTAGTCTACCACCCTCCTCTTAAACACATGTACTGTCTTCCTGTTAGTATATTCTCCTAGTCCAGTAAAATTATTTAACAAAATACACGTTTGTAGGTCTTACATTCAGTCTTCTTGTAGTGCATAGTTGATATATAGGCTGAGTAGTGATTGTAAATGTGCATTTCAGTTCATGGACTTAACACCTTCCTAGCAGATGTTTTTTCTTTAATTTTAAGGAAAATTATCAGTGATATCAGTTACTAACCAACCCAACATTTTTAATTAAATATGGTACATATACTCTCCTTGGTTTTGTTTGAAATTATTCAAACAGAAAGGTGTATTCTAGATGAATATGCTGTTTTTCCACCCTGCTCCTAAAAATGGGAGAGACACAGAGTTCTCCCATCTTTTGTAATCAAAGGGCAGGCACCTGCCTCCCAGCCTAGATGGGTGGCTCAGCCCAGCCCAGCTTCAGCTTCCTGTCTCCCTCAGGCAGTGGTGCTTGTGGGGGCTTGAGGGGACCAGAGAAAACACTGGACTGGAGGAGCTTTCAAAGGCCTCTACTTCCCTTGGCCTCTACTTCCTTTTTTGGTGCTTCCAGGTTTTCTAGGCTTTGACTTCAGGAGTCAGGACTAGGTGTTTAGGAGGTGGAGCATGCGCATTTCTTGGAAGTGTGTGCTCTTGTTGGAATGGTCTCTGTTCTGCTCACTCCGCTTACCTGTGTGAGCGGAAAGGGGCTGTGAGCAGGTGGCCTCGTATCTTCCCTTAGTCACCTATTTTTTCAACCTGTAATGTACTCAGGATCTGGTGAAGTGGACATACTAACTATATAAAATAAAATTCATTTAGGTTCCTTTATCACAAGCAGAATTTTAACAAGGTACACATCAACATTGTTTCCCCATGTTCCAAGACGATTTCTCTTTAGTTCACTGGCCCATTCATCCAAGAGGAGTCATTCCTTGATCTAAAAGTCCAGCTCTGGTATTTGAGGGTTCCAGTGAGGTCCTGCACTTGCAGTGCCAAACCCCGGCCTGATTAACCACTGGTGAATGTTTCTTCCAAAATGCAATAAGCACAGATAGTTCAGTGCACAGCCTTTGGGGAGTCCTGCTGTTTGAAAACCTGTGCACAGCACTTCAGAAGGCTGCTGAGCTTGGGGAAGATACGTCTGGATCTTAGCGAGACGGTGCCTGGGTTTTCCTTTTTGTCAGCTCCCTCATTTTCTTTTAATGTATTTTCTTTTTTATTTTTCCTGGTGGAAAGGAGAGGCAGATGTCTCTAAATTTTGATATTTCACAGCAAACCTTAAGCCCTTATTGCTTTCATGTGTGGAAAGGTTGATTTGTAGCTGCTATCTTTCTTCCTAATAGACCTTGTGGGTGGTAAAGATCTCAGGGAGTGAACATTAAAAATGAATGAGGAGAACTGGAGTAGTTTGTCTGAGGTGGGGTTTGAGAGGGACTGGGTGGGGGAGGTTTAACAAAAGCCATTGATGTTTTAAATGCACAGAAATGCCACCCATCAATAATAAATGGTGTGGCACAGAACAGATGTGCCAAATTGAGTTATTACAGCATATGGATCTGTTCATAGAGGGAGGAAAGCAAGCAGCCTGGCTGGTGTTTGAGAGCTTTGGAGTATAATTTTGAATATTCTGGTTTTACAAAGGTCTGATAGCTGCCAGTTGGAAATACAGAACATTTGAAATTCCCAAGAATTCTGATTAAATTTTGAATGTTTTAAAGATAAGAATTATTAAGAATGAATAAATATTGTTTTTCTGAAGAGGGAGACGATCTGAAATGGCATTTCTGGCCCTTTACGGCTGAGTGCTTGCTGTTCGAGAGTTTGTGTTGTAATTATATGAGGAATGAAATTACATTACAAAACTTAAGTCATGTGAAACTGTTACCTAGTGTTTTCTACATTTACACTGATGGTATCTCTAGGTCCATACTTAAACTACAGAGGATAGCTCAGGAAGCCCCTCTCATGCCTTGAGATCGATTCATCACCCTCAGCATTTTGATTCATGGGCTAATTCTGTACATAGGCTCTGTGAGAATTACCTCACCCCAAAGTGAAACGAGAGAAATATCAGCGTCATTATCTCACAGAGAAAATCACTCCCAGGAAATTGGACAGATAAAAATCTGTTAGGTAAACTGGAATACTTTGTAAGTGTACATACTAGTGCAGAGGTTAAGCTTTGAATTGTACTTAATCTTCTCAAGGTGTGTCACAGCAGAGCAGGGACAGTAATGTGTGAGGGTTTGAAATGAGTCCTGGGTTGAAAACAGCAGAGACTTGGTAAGACATGTGGGACGATCCCACTCATCCCAGTACGACCCACGCGTGCCTTCCTGGAAACCTCGGTGGAATTGGATCTCTCCTCTTTGTTGTCCCAGCAAAACTAATTCCTCTTTCTTTTTTCTAAGGTGAACAAAAGGTACTTAATTCTTGCAAATAATGCCAAGTCGGTTTAAATTTGAGGTTTGCTAGATTAGAAAGACAAATTACTTAGCTGTTGCAGAAGAGTTCATTGAATCTTTGGGAATGTTCTAGTTGAAAATGAAGATAGTGATTATATGAAGTCTATTACTGACTCTTATTTTAGCCATTTGTATTAACTTTCAACTCTTTCAGGTGCAGAATTTATTTGAATTAATCTTTTCACCTCCAAGGGATCCTAGCTTGCCTTTAAAAAAAAAAACTTGTCAAACTGTCTTTAGAGCCACCAAATAAATCTATTTTATAGTCCCATTAGCTATCTAGCTCAAAGTCCCCTTCACCCTGGAAGGTCCTATGGTTGCATGCACAACAAATTTCCTGAGATCATCTCTGGTACACCTCCTTTGGGTTGTTAAGAAGGTGTTGAAATGCGAGAAGGCTGGTAGTGAAATTAAATTGTGGCTCAGGGTAATTAGGAGGGAGAAATCCAAGCATTTTCATAGTACATTGTCTGGCCTCTAGTTGCAGCTGCAAACAACGGATATGAATTTAACCAGTTGCTGCAGTGCAGCTGGTTCAGATCTGGCTTTACAACTGGCTGAAGTAAAATGAAATGGCTGGAAAATTCCAGTCAAGTAACACCAAGGGGAACATGTGGAATTAAATAGTGTGAGCAAATGCTGGCCGAGTTGAGGAAAAAACTTCAGACATAAACTTGAGGGTGGTGGTGAGGACTTGTAGAGAGAGGGAGGGTGGGGAGGGGGCCAGGGCATTTTCTGGCCTTTTTAACAAGGGTCTATTGTTTTGATTAGTTCCCTTGCAGGAGGTGGTTTCCTCCATCCAGAGTAATTTGTAGAGTGTTTGGCCTGTCTACCTTCCTCCTTGACTGAAGTCACCTGATACCTTTTTTTTTTCCTCCAAAAAGAAAGAAAAATAAGCTGTTACCTCAGTTACTGACAATAACACAAATCTCAAATGTAGTCTTTTTCCTTCGGGACAGTTTTCCCACCTTGTGTGACCCAGGAGGCCCTGTCTGTTCATAGTCCTCTTCCTTCCGCCACCTGCACCAGAGACGTTGAGTGTGCTGGGGGCCAAGGTGCTCAGAGGTTCAGTTTTTTTAAAAAATACAATTGTTCTCATTAAGAAAAGAAAGTGGGTTCACTAAAGGAAAGCTTTTGTATTAGTAGTTTTTTCTCCATGAATTGTCTGAGGGAAAAAATTCTGAGAAGCTGAAGGGCCATGTGCTGTTTGGGGAAAACATTTGTTGTAACTAGGTTTAGGGTACTCACTCCCTGCCAGTGCTTGGGAGCATGTTTGCCAAGTGATTTCCCTGTCACAGGGATTAGCCAGTCATGTGAAGCACTTGATGAGGAGACTTAGAGAAGTCTTCCTGGGGCACATGACTGGTCGCTGCTGCTGGGACGGCCCCTGCTCAGCTCCGCTGCGTCCCTTCAGTGTGTATGAGTGAGTTGGTAGTGATTCGTCATGGGATACTTTACAGTCCAATGAAGAAACTTTTTAGGAACCAAAGTTGTGGCAAGTATACTGTTAATTAAACCCCTTAAAATTTCTGCATAACTTAGAAAGGAATATTTTTTCTCAGCCATACCACTCACTGCTCATCTGTTTTTGGAAAGGGAAAAGATATAAGTGATCAATAAAACTGTCTCCACCCCAACAGCAACCCTGTTCTCTCTCAGCAGAGACAATTTCTTCCTGATGCGCATCACTCATGCCAGCGCCATTCACTTGTGAAGCGGGGCAAGGGGGCTGAGTTCAGAGGGTCTTTCTCCAGCTGGTCAGCTCCAGGATGGAGGAAAGCTCTCGGTGTATGCTTCCCTCCCCTGTGTTAAACTGTACACGCTCCTTCCCACAGATCACGATCATCTTCAAAGCCCACCGGGAGTGTACCGATCAGAAAGTGTACCAAGCTGTGACAGATGACCTGCCGGCTGCCTTTGTGGACGGCAGCACCAGCGGTGGGGATGGCGACACCAAGAGCCTGCGTATCGTGGAAAGGGAGAGTGGCCGCTATGTGGAGATGCACGCCCGCTACATCGGGACCACGGTGTTTGTGCGGCAGCTGGGGCGCTACCTGACCCTCGCCATCCGCATGCCCGAAGACCTGGCCATGTCCTACGAGGAGAGCCAGGACCTGCAGCTGTGTGTGAACGGCTGTCCCCTGAGCGAGCGCATCGATGATGGGCAGGGCCAGGTGTCTGCCATCCTGGGGCACACCCTGCCTCACTCCTCCCTCGCACAGGCCTGGCCCGGCTACACCCTGGAGACTGCCAATGCTCAGTGCCACGAGAAGATGCCAGTGAAGGACATCTACTTCCAGTCCTGTGTCTTTGACCTGCTCACCACTGGTGACGCCAACTTCACCGCGGCAGCCCACAGTGCCTTGGAGGACGTGGGGGCGCTGCACCCGAGGAAGGAGCGCTGGCACATTTTCCCGAGCAGTGGTCGGGGGGCGCCCGGCGGAGGCGGCCCTTCGGCGCTCAGTCTAGGACTCACGTGCTTGATCCTTATTGTGTTTTTGTAGGGGTTGTCTTTTATTTTCCTTTGTCTATAACAAAATTTAAAAATATATATTGTCATAATATATTGAGTAAAAGAGTATATATGTATATACCATGTATATGACAGGATGTTTGTCCGGGGACACCCACCAGATTGTACATATTGTGTTTGACTGTTTTTAGTATGTTGGATGTAGTGTTCTTTGATTGTATCGATTTTATTTTGCAGTTTTGTGAAATGTTTTATAATGTCCCTGGCTGGGGACCTGTTAGAAAGCACTTTATTTTTTATATATTAAATATTTATGTGTGTACCTGGTTAGTATGTATAGTACATATACACACACCATACTCAGCGGCCCTTTGAATATGACCAGTGATGATGTCTGTGGCTGTCCCTGGCTGTCCCTCATGGCCCACCGCTACTGATGCCCATGGCGTGGGGCCCACCAGCTTCCTGCGGGAGCCTCCTCGCGCGCGTTGGAAGGATCGTAACGCCTTGCACGTCACAGGTGCTGTGGCTCTGTGAATGCTGGTGTCGAGGAAGCCTCACCCTCCCGAACAGCTGTCCCTTCCCAGAGGGTGGGCGAGTGGACCCTCATTAAACCATGGTGGTTGTATCTGAGCACTTCTGGTATAGTAAGTTGAACTATATGAAACTGCTGTTTTTATAGGTCAGAAGGGGCTAGTGATGGCAATTTCATAGATAAATACCAGGCATTTTGATAGACTCCCGTAGCTCTCAGTCTTTTTCTTCCCATGTCCCTGTCTAAACTGTTGTGTTTTTTTCCTCTTTTAACTATTTTGCATCGAACAAACAAAATGCAAAAACATAAATTTAATGATGGTGCCTTGCTGTTCTCTGATTTGTGCAAGGCCGTGTTCTTGGCCTTCCTCCTCGGCTCTCTGGGCCCAGAAGCATACGGCTCCTTGTCTCCACCCCCAGTGAGCCCAGGCGCTCGGCACCGTTAAGATTCTTTGCTGAGGCCCAGATCCCACCACAAAGGTTTCCACTCCTCCTTGCCCTCTGCACCACGCTCACCTTCCGACGAGTCTGTGCACGATGGGATGGACCAGGGTCAGTGACGGCCTCTCGGCCCGACCCGCATGCGGCTCACGGTGCTAACCTAGGTGGGCTCTTTTTGATCAGATGTTCTCCCTCTTAACTGTAGGCAAATACTATCTAGTCAGTTGCTCATGTAACTTGGTAAAATCCCCATAAAGTAAAACACATACCTTACCCCTTCAAGTCCATTGTTGGCACCCTCTGCAAAATGAGAACAGGCCGTCAGTCGCTGAGCAAGTAAACACGATAGGTAGGCTTACATAGCTCCATCCGAAATATGTGGCTCCAAGAACTTGCACTTCACCCTAAGTTTACATTAATGTAAACAAGAATTAACAAACATTAGACCTAGTAATTTCAGCTGGCCATTGCCGAGCACTGCCAGGGGCCCAGACCGGCAGGGAAAGAGGACGGCATTCTGTGATGCTCTGCTCTTCCATGAGCTGATGTACCACCAGTCACAGCATGGAACTGGGTTCGCCCAGAGCTGGCACACCTCTCTACTTTCTGGCATATGAGGGACTAATCTGGCCAGTCTGGGAAAATAATGAAGACATCCTGCTTAATAATATTCAACACCAGAGAGTTAAAACTCAACCTGCCATTCCTTTATAAAAACTGGATTAGGGACCTGCCTACTACCATCAGCTCTGAGCCGTGGCTGCTTTTGGTCCCCTATGGAACCATGTGCCAGGCAGGTTCAGACACTATAGCTACTTAGTAATTTTGTTTTGGGATTGAGTAGAAGAAAGGAGAGAAAATAGGGTACTTCTAACCACTATGTTTGTGCAAATAGTATACAAGTAAAGTAGAAATGTCTATAGTATCTTGGTTTGGAGTGTGTATGATTAATATACCTTTGTCATTTGTAGGGAAAGCAAAACAACCACCTCTAGTAGTAGTTGGGAAAAGAAAATCGAGCCAATTTGCCATATCACTTAACTGGAAAGGATGCTTAAAAGCATCCTACAAATCTAGGACTAGTACCAGTGTGGTTAGCTAGTTTTTCTTAATAACCAGTGTCCCTGTACAACATTTACAGTCCTCACAGATAATTGTTTCAGAATTGCAGGTTTTTCTCTAAAGAAGGGCCAGCTTTACTTTCTCCTGTTTCTTTTCTAGGATTTCTAGAGAAAATGCTACTTGCACATGTTGGTTCTTGAAATCCTCCATAACCAGAAGAGTTTTGGGTCACCAACACAAGGATAGGCTGCAGCTGTTCCAAGGTCTGGGGAGCCTCAAACTTGGAGGGAAACACTGGTTTTCACAGATGCTCAACATGGCTGTCTTTAAAAGACTCATAACATTTTTTGTCCCCTTTCTATGCTTGGAAATCCTTCAGTGTGTCGAGTCTTTAGATGTGGTTCATTGGTATATGAATAAGTATCTGTGTAAAACAGTGAGTGTGCAGTGTGTAAATACTTTAAATTATTATGCTAGAAAAATAAAGGTAACATACCAAGCTGTGGAATGTTTGTTCTGTGATTATAGTGACACCTGCTGGAAGAGCTGAGAAACAGCAGTAGAAGAAAGGAAGTGAGGGTGTTTGTGCAGCATCTTTTATAGTTACTGACAAGTTGTACCCTCTGCCCACAGACTCACTTATTTTCTGAACTATATCACTACTGTAATTTTTCCTTTTTTTAATTTTAAGCATTGCAAATAAGTATCTGTGAGACTGGCCCACTGATGTTATCTGAAAGGTCTGTCTTGAGTAATAGTTTTGGTCCTTTGAAGTTTTGGGGCCTGCACTTTGGTCCTTTACAGCAGCACCGAGTGCAACTACTTACTCCTGGTGGGGAAGGTCTTGGAGGCAGGATTTTCTAGCTTTGGAACTTTTTCAATCCCTGCTTCTTGGGTGTTCTAAAAAGAGACATCACAAGGTTACGAGTTTAAGAAACGTGCCAAAGGGTAAAAAAGCTTGAAAAAGAATTAAACCCAAACTGAAGACAGGAAAGCACTGTTACTGCCACTAGGTAGAACACGAAATGGAGCAGATTTTGACTGTGGGAAACATACAAGTAATCATTTCTTAAATGAACAGCTGTGTAGACCGGTTTGGAACGAATGAAACAGGAACATGAGTTGGCAGCTGAACCACAGAGGTGACAGCGGCACAGCCACTGCGTCCCTAGCACGTATGTCTGTCCTGAGTGAACGCTAAGAAAGAATCCACATCACAATGCCGTCTGTGCTTACACGGCACACATTCTTTAACATACTCTATGTCCACACCTCCAGCTTTTCAAAGATTGAAACTTGAGCAACTGTCCAAAAACCAAAAAGGGAGGCATTTAGCGGCATTCTGTTGCCCGGAATCTGCTGTAATAACAATTGCTTCAGTCCTTTCTGACAAAGAGACCTTCAACAGTTTTCCCTTAAATATGTATGTGAACCAAGGAACACCCCCCACACACACACACACACACACCTATAGGGAATGTAATCAAGACACTGAAGAAAGAGTCACCTCACAGTGACTTCACTGCCTCGCTCACCAAACTGTTTCTGCTTCCATGCATGTCCTGTGTATCTTCCAAATGGACAAGTCATACTCATACTATCATTATTCAGACGGCAGTTTCCTTTGAATTTACTGCTCTTCCCCTAAGTACCCCAGTAAGCAAGATGTTTGACACTATCAACTAAATAGAATATATAGTCCCTTACACCCAACAGGCGAGGTGTGTGTTTGGAGTAGGAATGTCTGGGCCCCACCACCCTTGTGCAGATAAACAGGGAGCACGGGACACCCAGTGGAGGATGCACTCATGGACCTACAGAGATGGGATGTACACCCCTGGCCTCATTTGAATGATGTTCGAACCAATTGAACAAACCAGTCCCATCAACTAGAATACATTAAAAGTCACTGCATCAGCCCTGACCATTTTGGCTCAGTGGTTAGTGCGTTGGCCCGCGGACCAGAGAGACCCAGGTTCGGTTTCCGCTAAGGGCATGTACCTTGGTTGCAGTTTGTCCCCGGGTGGCAACCAGTCAATGTGTCTCTCTCACACTGATGTTTCTCTCTCTTCTTCCCTCTCTCCCTCCTGCTTTATCTGTAGATAAATGCAAAAATGTCCTCAGGTGAGGTTAAAAAAATAATAAAATAAAATAAAAGTCACTGCATCAAACTCCAGCAAGAAGGGCATTTTCCTAATTGACAGTTCTTAATGGGTAAGAGTTCCATGACCCATTTTTTATTTCAACTTCAGAAGAAGAAAAAAAGTAGGCATTCTCTTACCAGATTAAATATACAAGACCTATAGCATGCAAATTAATCAAGTAGACATTGCATCTACCATAAATGACATTTGAAAAAAAAACAAAACCAAAAATATCCCCATGATGCTGTTGAACGGTGCCAAGGGCTTCCAAAGTCTTCTAACAGGAAGCAGTGACATAGGAGTCACTGAGGGGTGGGGGAGGGGGGAAATATATTTATTTTCTAGCAAGACCATCTTTTGAGCTGCCAAAGAGCCATGCCATTACTGCATCACCGGCCATTTGTGCAGTGTGGATGGACTGTGGGGAGACCTACTGATAGGCTCAGTCTAAGTACAAGGGAAGGATTCTGGGCCAAAGTCACCACGGGACCTCGTGTTCCTTCTTGGGAAGGAAAAGGAAAGAGTTGTGAAATAACTTGGGATGGCACAAAATATAAGATTCTCGAGAGCCCTGTCAAATTGGAAATTCGGGTGACAGACAATTGGGAAAGTAGTGAAAGTATACCTGGGGCGCTGGGAGGAAGGGTGGCCCCGGGACAGGAAGCACCCACAAAATAGAATGACATACAGAACGTAGACTTATTGCCTTCTGGGCCACAAGACCATTGTCAAGGGTTCATTTGTGTGTAAATAATTTATATTTTCTGCTTTCGAGGAGACAGCATAGCATAGTGGTCAAGATGACTGTGGAATTGCACGGTCTAAGTCTAAATCCCCTCACTTTCTTGGTTGTGCAGCCTTAGATATGCCAAGCCATATCCTCATCTTCCTTTTTTTATTATTGATTTTTAGAGAGAGGAAGGGAGAGGGAGAGAGAGACAGAAACATGGACTGGCTGCCTCCTGCATGCCCCCCACTGGGGATCAGGCCCACAACCTGGGCATGTGCCCTGACGGGAATCGAACCAGCGACCTCTCGGTCTATGGGTCAATGCTCAACCTGTGAGCCACACTGGCTGGGCGCCACATCCTCATCTTTAGAATGGGAATCCTAATGAGTCTTCACACCTCAAACATTCATAGTGAGAGTTAAATGTGTTACCGTGTCTACAGTTCTTAGCCCAGTACCTAGGGCAGACCTAGCACTCAACACATGTCCCTGAAAATGTACCTGAGATGGAGAACTGCGTTCACTTGGGGGAACCACAAACCCTGAGCACTTCCTAGAACTACATTAGCATGTATGCCTCTGCGTACATTCTAGAATCTAGGGCTGGGTCAAAGTTCTCGAGTTTAGACATCTCTGTGAGGGGGATGAACCCTGTCCCATGGCTCCCAGGAGAAGGGGCGAGGCCAACTGCCAAAGCTGCACACGGGTGCCTCCCGCTCGCTGTTCACTGCAGCCCCCCAGGAATCTCAGCACGAACCCCTGCAGGCCCCTGTAGAGAGAGTCATCCCCACACGTGAGCAACCACCTGCCCCGGGTAGAACTTCGTGGGTCGAGTGGCCTGGGGACAGGAAGAACTCCGGAGGAAAGCTGTCACCCGGGGAAGTGTTGCTCGCGATTTCTGGTCATGGTTCCAC